TGTATCCGAAACATTGACGCTTCTCTTAAACAGTATATAGACAGTGTATAAAGTTTTTTTTCATTCATTTGTAAGCTTCGGTTACGAGCGTTAAGGCATGGACAAAGTAAAAGAATATATACGTCGAAAATCGATCGAGCACAAGGGGTATCGTCGCTTGTCACCAAGTCCACCAAGTACCCCACCATCGAAGGAAAAAATTAAATATTGGTGTTCGCGGATACATTCGCCGCATGTTAAATTCTATTTACCGATTCGACATCGTCGCACCATCTGTGAGTGCGTGTTAGCGGTTCTGCTCCATACTGTGAACTTCGGACATAATAAGATTGAATATCTGTTTTCGCGATCAGGAATTCGTCCGCAGCCCGCTTGGGGCATGTTGATTTCCGCGACATTGGCACGATAATCCGGACAAAGGAAGGACACCGTGGCTAGATGCTTCGCGGCCGCTGCCGATCTCAGATATCTCGACTCTGATCGCTCACGATTTAACGAATGTTGTAAATCGCCGCTCTCGCATATAAATAGTGCATTCCGTGATCATCAGTACGCGCTTCGTGTGAACTTTGGTTTTCTTACGCGAGACTCCTCGCAGACGCACATCTCGCGGCGCACGCTACACCGGTCGTGTCTTCATGCGTCGGCCGCGTGCCTCGCGGCCGTTTCATTTGTGACTTTCTATATTTGTTCAGGAGTAAATAACAGACTTTGTGTGAGTGAAATCATGTGCCTTACTTTATTCATTGCATTCCCTCGATCCTGACCCAGCAAGCCGCGTAACGCGACATTTGGCGATCCTGCCAGGATCTACGGGAGTGCAGTGAACCAATGCATCGAAATCGAAGTGCATCGGTGCAGTGAACCCGATTCCCAAATTCTGGTTTTGCATAAAATCGTGCCAGAGTTGGCAACTTGAATTTGGCATCTTCGGCTCATTTCGGAATCCGTCGGAACCACTCGGCTTCAACGACGAGATCCCACATACGCGTTCAGTCACGACGTGACGTCCCGCGAGACGCTCCCACCAAGGAAGCTCTCCCCGCTAAGCTTGTTGGCAACAACTTGCTCTTTGGCCACTCAACTCGAGTTCGGCCCATCTCTAGTCAAGCCTCTATTTGAGAGGCAAATATTCACGATGCCGAAGGACTATCCTGATGTCTATCATACGTGCATACAATTGATTGCACACCAACAGCAGGCGCTCGGCTCAATTAAACGAGCAAACGCAGCCCTCCAAGACAGTGACCTCACAGCGCAGAAAGCGCAAACGCGCCTACGTCTAGTCGAAGACAATTGAAAGAAGTTGTCGGCGCAGCACCTCGAACTCCAAAATTATCTTGAAGTACCACAATGTGCTCAACAGGAATATTTTGCGGAGGACTTCTTCGCAACTGCTGAGGAACTCTATGTCGACACAGTCGCGGGTTTGACATCTGTCATCGATCGGCTTCGTCCAGCGACTTCAACGTCAGCTCGCGTCAACGCTCCAGACAGCGCTCCAGTCAACACCGAGTGTCCTCGTCGCAAGTACCCAAGATCAAATTACCGCAATTTTCAGGCAATTTTAAGGATTGGCCGGAATTCCGCGATCATTTTAAAGCCATAATACTAAATGATGTTCAATTTGATGCTTTCCAAAAATTATATTACCTGAAATCATGCCTCGATGGCGAGGCCGCAAAATTGCTAAAGAATCTAGCCGTCACCGCGGATAACTTTGACATTGCCTGGAAAATGATGAACGATCGATATGAAAATAAACGCCGATTATTGTATTTATATCTTAATCAGTTATTCTCATTAAAACCGGTTTCGAATGACAGATCTCCGATAGATCTTCGCCGACTATTAGATTCGGCTCAGGAAGCCGTTGACGCGTTAACAAATCTTGGCCGACCGGTGTCGGACGATATTATTGTTTACATTATTGTAGAGCGTCTTGATCGCGGTACGCGTGAGGCGTGGAATTTTTCCCTCGGAGAGGAAGAATATCCCACGTACGAGAAACTCCGTAAATTTATGACCGCAAAGATTCGGTCTTATGAAGCCTCGGTCGTGCCGAACAAACCGATTCGATCGACGCCCATCTCATCGCGCGGTAGTAATACCTCCGCCTCCCGCGCTCAGACGCATCATGCGATTGCGAAGACGCAAGTAAACTGCGTCTTATGCGCTGGTAGTCACCCATTATATAAGTGCAAGGTTTTACAGTCCCATTCCGTTGCAAAGAGATGGGAAGTTATCAAAAAACATGCGACATGTTCGAATTGCTTGTCGATACATCACGAAGATGCAAGCTGCAAGAGTGAACGCACATGCGTGCATTGTGGCTCTCGCCACCACTCACTATTGCATAGGCCGTCGGATAAAACGAAGACGCCTGCGTCGGGATCGGCTCCGATCGTTGCAAGTACATCTCACACAGATTCACCCAATGAGGATATCAGTTTTGTACAAGCTCATTTGAGTACGCCACGTATACAATCTCATGTGATACTTGCAACAGCATGGGTGCTGATCACGGCGCCGTCTCAACGCGTCGCAAAGGTTCGCGCGCTATTGGATCAGGGTTCGACCCATACCTTTATTACACGTGAGGTCGCGAATGCCTTACGCACACCGACTTACGCTACTTCGGTAGTGGTAAGTGGAGTTGGGCAGAACGGTTCGAAAATGGTCGGACGAGCTGTCCCGATCACCGTCAGTGCAGTAAAACATAGTGCAGTAAAGCTAATGACAGATGCTTTGATTTTGGATAAACTCACTGACTATACGCCCAAGTTCCGCTTTCCACTTTCGCACTGGCCGCATCTGGACGGTCTTGAATTGGCTGATGGATGCCCCACCGACGCTACGCCTGTGCATATGATCATCGGTGCGGATATGTACGCTTACGCCCTTCGTGACGGTTTAGTGCGCGGTAAACGGGACGAGCCGGTCGCGATGAATACCGTCTTCGGTTGGGTTCTGTCGGGGATGAGTGATACCGAGCCTCCTGATGTATCCACAGTCCATGCGCATCATGCGCAGTCCTACGAAAACCTTAACCTACTCCTACCGCGCTTCTGGGAAATTGAAGAAATTTCCCCGCTCCGACCATTATCCGAAGAAGACGAACGCTGTGAACAGCATTTTCGTGAAACTCATTCGCGCTCTTTGGAAGGGCGATATATGATGCGCATCCTCTTCAAGGATGCCCCGCCGCTTAAAATCGGTGATACTTTTCAACGCGCGAGTAAATGCCTCAAGTCACTTGAAAGGAGACTTTCAGCTCGCCCACAGGAGCGTTCGGAGTATGAAACATTCCTGACGGAGTATGAAGCGCTTGGACACATGCGCGTCGCCCTACCGCTGACTGATACGACAGCGGTATACCTTCCGCACCACCCGGTCATTAAGGCCACAAGCACGACCACAAAAACCCGCGTGGTCTTCAATGCTTCGTCAGTGTCCAGTAACGGATGTTCACTGAACGATGTGCAATTAGTTGGCCCTAAGCTGCAGTCTGATTTGCCAATGCTTCACATGCAGTGGCGTACACACCGATATGTGTACGCCGCTGATATCGAGAAGATGTATCGGCAAATCCTCGTTGATGAGCGAGACATCGACACGCAACGCATTCTTTGGCGAAAGTCGCCCAACGACGCCGTGTTAGAATATCAGCTCCTTACTGTTACGTACGGCACTGCGAGCGCGCCGTACCTAGCGTTGCGTGTCCTTCGCCAACTAGCCGAAGACGAGGGCTCTGCATTCCCTCACGGGAAGGACGTGTTGCTCGGGAACATGTTCGTGGACGATGCTCTTTTTGGCACCGACACTGTCGGTGAAGCACGTCGCATCCGCGACGAAACCAACGCTCTTCTCGCAAGGGGACATTTTACCCTTCGGAAGTGGGCGAGCAATGACCCATCTCTTCTTGCCGATATAGAGCCACAGAACCACGGTTTATCGTGTGACAAGTCGCTTCAGTCGGATGAGAGTATAAAGGTACTCGGCCTCGCTTGGCACGTAGCTAGCGATTCTTATAACTTCACCGTAAACCGAGCCGATGTTCCGATTGTAACGAAGCGTCTTGTATTATCGCATATCGCCCGGATCTTCGATCCACTCGGCTGGATCGCTCCTGTCGTCATCGCTGCTAAAATCTTGATGCAACGATTATGGAAATGCGCAGTCGACTGGGACTCACCACTTCCGGCAGACATTGTCGTGTTGTGGACCGAATTCTACGATGCTTTGCCGGCTCTATCGTCTCTGTCAATACCACGATGGTTAGGCACTTCGCCTTCAGTCAAAACTGAGCTGCATGGGTTTTCCGATGCCTCATGCAAAGCTTATGCATGTGTCATATATGCACGCATCGAAACTTCCGATGGACGTGTAGACACGGTACTCGTTTCAGCAAAGACTCGGGTAGCCCCTTTGAAGCATCAAACGACTCCCCGTTTGGAATTGTGCGGAGCTGTGCTCCTAGCGCGGCTCATTACACAAGTGCGGTCAGCGCTGGCATTTTCTCATTGGCCAGTTCACTGTTGGACAGACGCCACTATTGTGTTGGCGTGGCTTCGAGGGCAGTCATCGCAATGGAGAACATTCGTGGCAAGTCGAGTAGCCGAGCTTCATTCGAGTCTCCCCGACGTCCCTTGGCGCCATGTTCCTGGGAAGGAAAATCCAGCCGACTTAGCATCACGTGGCGTCTCCGCTTGTGACATCGGCGGCTCGGACCTTTGGTGGTATGGACCGACATGGCTCCGATTGCCGCCATCCGAGTGGCCAACGCATGAGCCGGATCTGGCAGATGATGCTCCTCTAGAATTGAAGTCTCCGGTACATCATGCCAGCATTGCACAGGAAGATGCAGAGGTATTGTTTCGGCGCGTGTCTTCTTGGCCACGCTTATGCCGCATCATACTTATATGTCTCCGTTGGTCCAAGTCTTGGACAACATCGAATAGGTTGTCGTCTTGGTCGTATACGAAAGAACTTGCGCTTGTTTCGGTACGAATTTTTTCGTTGACGCAGGCGCAGTTCTTCCGTCGCGAACTCGAACTCCTCCAGGACAATCCGGCGTCAGCAGTTTGCCGACGGCTGAAAATTGGCCAGACACTTCCTAAACGCAGTCCCCTGAAACGATTAAACCCGTTTATGGACGATGACAGCCTCTTACGTGTAAGCGGTCGACTCTCGTTAAGTCAACTTCCGTTCACATCCAAATTTCCTGTCATTCTGCCTTCAGGTCATATCGCTCAACTTCTGGCAAGGCATGCACACATTCGCTGCCTACACGGTGGCGTCACACTGACTCTCAGTACTCTACGAGAGCAAGTGTGGGTGCTTCAGGCCAGGAAAATCGTGAAAGCTGTGGTACATCACTGTGTCGTTTGCGCTCGACACTCGCTACGGTCCCTACTCAGTTGATGGGTTCATTGCCATCGGCTCGAGTCAATCGCCCGTCTCGTGCATTCATCGAATGTGGAGTAGATTACGCCGGACCCGTCAGGATCCGCTCGGCAGGCGGACGTGGTCATCGCGCGCACTTAGCGTACATCGCAGTATTTATATGTATGGCGTCTCGTGGGGTGCATCTTGAAGTTGTTACTGACTACTCGACACAGGCATTTCTAGCTGCCTTTCAGCGATTTTATTCGCGCCGTGGCTTGCCTAAAGTCATGCACAGCGACTGCGGAACAAATTTCGAAGGTGCTGATGGAGAACTGCGCAGAGCGTATCGCGACGCGATTCAATCGAATGAGCTTCGCGTTCGTGTGGCTGAACAAGGCGTGGAGTGGCAGTTTATTCCTCCTGCTGCACCTCATTTCGGTGGGTTGTGGGAGGCAGGGGTACGCTCCATGAAGCGCCATCTCAAACGTGTGTTGGATCCGCACACTCCAACATATGAAGAACTGGCAACACTTCTATGTCGCGTCGAAGCTTGCCTTAATTCGCGCCCGTTTTCGCCGCTTACAGAGGATATTGAGAGTCTTGACGTTATTACGCCTGCGCATTTACTTATCGGTGGTCCACTCAATTCCGCACCGGCGCCGCTAAGCGTCGACTACTCGATTAATTATCATAAGCGTTGGCAATTATATCAGCACCTCTTGGAGCGATTCTGGATAAGCTGGTCGCGGGACTATGTAACTTCTTGCCAGCATCGCTCCAAGTGGGCTTCTCGCACGCCTTCTGTCAAAGTCGGTCAAATCGCGTTATTGCGCAATGATAAATTACCCCCCGCTAAATGGGATCTCGCCCGTGTTGTTGCGTGTCATCCGGGACACGACGGTCTAATTCGAGTGGTCACAGTTCGTACAGCGACGTCCACATACAAGTGGCCGATTTCAAAACTTGCACTGCTACCGATTGACATTGAAGAGAGTTCGGCTCATGTCTCCCCGAGGCCAGTGTAACGCGTCAGTAATTTATACCTGTAAGTTAAAATGTAAGTATTGCTGTAAGTATATTGATAATGTAAGGGTATCACTCTATATTCGCAGCATCTAGTGTTTAAGTGTATTGCTATCGCAAGGCGGGCGGTATGTTCGCGGATACATTCGCCGCATGTTAAATTCTATTTACCGATTCGACATCGTCGCACCATCTGTGAGTGCGTGTTAGCGGTTCTGCTCCATACTGTGAACTTCGGACATAATAAGATTGAATATCTGTTTTCGCGATCAGGAATTCGTCCGCAGCCCGCTTGGGGCATGTTGATTTCCGCGACATTGGCACGATAATCCGGACAAAGGAAGGACACCGTGGCTAGATGCTTCGCGGCCGCTGCCGATCTCAGATATCTCGACTCTGATCGCTCACGATTTAACGAATGTTGTAAATCGCCGCTCTCGCATATAAATAGTGCATTCCGTGATCATCAGTACGCGCTTCGTGTGAACTTTGGTTTTCTTACGCGAGACTCCTCGCAGACACACATCTCGCGGCGCACGCTACACCGGTCGTGTCTTCATGCGTCGGCCGCGTGCCTCGCGGCCGTTTCATTTGTGACTTTCTATATTTGTTCAGGAGTAAATAACAGACTTTGTGTGAGTGAAATCATGTGCCTTACTTTATTCATTGCATTCCCTCGATCCTGACCCAGCAAGCCGCGTAACGCGACAATTGGGAATGTCCCGGAGAAAAAGCATCATCGTCGTCATCAACGTCATCAAAATATAAACCAAATCAAAATATAATGTATAAACGTATATATAAACTAATGACAAAGAAAACACGTAGAAAGACGTGATAAAACGTGTCACGACACGTTCGAAATTCTTGGAAAGAGGAGGACGGCCTGCCCCTTCTTCAATTTTAGAAGTATTATATACGCCACAATTTATGCGATCAGACTTGCGATATCCGCTTGTACGAACGATTGAAAAAATGTACTTTGCCAAAGAGAGCAGCGCATCGAACGACGTGAAGAAGGAATGTAACGCGTAAGTTTCAACATTCTATACAGAAAAAACGTTTTTTTTCTACATTATTTACAACGTAATTGCATTACACAGCATGAAGCGTCGCGCGGTGCACTTACTGAGTAGACGTTACGACTTGACGGCTACGGGCTACAAGTATTTGGAAATTGTTCATCAACGTTGACCCACAGAGTTACGTGGAAATCGCTCTGGGAGATCATCGCGGACACGAACTGTCGCTGTCTCTCGAAACGTGGAAAGGCTTCTACGAGCAGCGATGGAATATCTACAAAATGCTTCGAAATGAATACAAGGACAATTTTATAAGCGTTGGACCGCTAACGATCAGTGTTTGCATGCTGAGCGACGTTACGCTCGTACGTCTCGATTCTTCATCCGTACGCATAACGATGATCGAAACGACGCTACATCGTATGTTAGAGATTGACGGGTGCATCAATGTAACGTTCGAACGATTAGCCAGACTCATCGATACGGTCGATATCAAGTATACGCGATTCTCCGATATCTCGTCCGAGAACGCTATACGCGATAGCGACATCTTCAACGGGCATCAACTCGTCGATTGCGAGCTATTAGCTTTAGTTTTTAATACGTATGAAAAAAAATGATGTAATAAGATGTGAATAAACAATTTTTTCCTTCGCATTACTATGTACTTTCTTTACTTCCCATCCGTCATATCCTATGCCTCGACGCGTTATCGCATTCCGTTTAGATAAACAGCATCAATCTGCGCTTCTCTTATTGTGTCGCGAATCGTGTATGCACCCTTAGAAACCCTTCCAGCGATATAGAACTATAAGTAAAACAATATTTATTTATTGTAGAATCGTTTGATCCGTAGCAACAAAAATTTACAACATCAACGCGTGACACTAAAACTGCAAACCAAAAAAAGAGAAAATTCTGTCTAGACAATATTGGTTAATAGATACAGTCTGGACGTGGATACACAACAATAAGCACGTTTCAAACTCATAAAAATCGATCTAAGTATCAAGGGACGTTTTCTCTCGTCGACAACAGGAAGTTAGTAAAAACACTTTGGATTTGAATCGTTTTATGAGTTTGAAACGTGCTTGTTGTCATGTATTATCTATAAAAAAAAATATGCATGGTAACTTCGCTGCAGCGAAGAACGCTTCCGAGCGTCAGTATTCGTTTGATCTTGTTCTCGCGCACGAGGAAAAGTATTCGACGTGAGTGAATATTCTGCCAAAATATTCTGCCATTTTCCGCGTTAATGGTGGAATATTTTTGCGCGTGCAGTGAGTGCATAAGTGTTGTGTGTTTTTAGAATGTATTATATAATTCCGACAAGCCTCCAATGAAACGACAAAAGCGTGAGGAGGAGAAAGAGGAGGACATCCTCCTTGCCGAGAACGTCCTCGGCGAGGAGAATGTTCCCGACGAGCCTCCAACGAAGCGACAAAAGACTGGGGAAGAAGAGGAGGATATCCTCCTTGCCGATGACGTCCTCGGCGTGGAGAATGTTCCTGACGAGCCTCCAACGAAGCGACAAAAGCTTGAGGAGGAGAAGGAGGAGGACGTCCTCCTTGCCGAGAACGTTCTCGGCGAGGAGAATGTTCTCGACGAAGAGAACATCGTCTTCGGCGAGGAGGAGGAGGAGGATGAGGATGACATCCTCATTATCGATGGGGATGAAGATAGTGGCGAAGATGACGAGGTCGTCAATGTGGATGGCGACTTCGTCAATTTTGGAAACATAAGCGCCGAGGAGTGCATTGTGTATATGATGGACCTCCTCCACATAGAAAACGAGGAAGAATTATTTACCTTCCTTGAAGAGGGGGTGGAGGAGGTGGAGGAATAGGAGGAAGACAATGAAGAGGAGGAGGAGAAGGAGGAGAAGGAGGAGAAGGAGGAGAAGGAGGAGAAGGAGGAGGAGGAGGACGACGATGAGGAGAAGAATGAAGAGGAGGAGAAGGTGGAGGATGAAGAAGAGAGGGAGGAGACGGAGGAGGTAAATAAAAAAATCTTTACTACAATTTTTTTCTAAAAAATATCAGCGCTTCTTGGTTTTCTTTGTCCGCGTTACCACATAATATCCTGACGAATTTTTTGGGGTGGGTACGGGGATGATGGTGGTGAAAAAACCACATCATAAAAATGAAAAAAAGTTTCCTAAGTAAACAGCGGTACCGGCGACCCTGGGACCTTCCCCGCGCCCCGTTCCCGCTCGCTCAGTGACGTCATACCCCCACCTCCGAAGAATCCCCGCGCTCCGTTTCCCCTCGCATCCGAGTACCCCCCGCGCCCCGCATTCCCTTCTAGCCCCATGGGTTAGAACCCGCCTAGTATTACCACTTACATGAAAAATTTTTCTATTTAAATTAAATTTTTTCATTTTATACGGTTAATTCTTTAATTTTTTGTGGTAACACTTAAATTGAACAAGGTAACGCAATTTTGTGATGTTTTGTATAATGTTTTGAAGGAGAATTAAATAACCACTACTTTAGTTGGTAGAGAAAATCTTTGAATGAGTTGTGATTAAATAACTACTACTTTAATTGGAAGAGGAAATGTCTTTGAATGAATTGTGATACGATAATTTCATTTAAGAGGAATTTAAACCATTTGGATTGGAATAGGAAGATTCTTCAATAAGTATACGTATACTTAGGTTTCGTTGTATAAAAATTAAAGATAGTATCATTTGGATTAAGTAAATAATAAAGATAGTATCACTTAGGTTTTACTTTTTATAATATTTTGTAGTAGAATTTAACTTGGCGCCACAGTTGTTGATATCAAATCGTTTGTACAAATAATACATCTTAGATAAATATTCATTATTTAATTTGGCTATCAAATCTTTTTTACGAATAATACATAAAATTTTGATAAATTTAATTAAATTAACAGAATTTAACTTGGCGCCACAATTGTTGATATCAAATCTTTTATACAGAAGATCTTTTATACATATATCATTAGATTTAGTAAATTTTGTGATATTTTTCATGTAATAATTTTTGAAGGGGAATGAAACCATTATAACTTGTGTTGGAATGTATCATATACAAAGAATTTCATCAAACAGCAAACGCAATTAGTTATCAGTTCACGGCCGATTAAGTAATTGACGTTGGTGAAACCGGCCCAAATGATGGTTTCAATACGAGAAGCACGTACGCTTATTAGATTTTACGGTAGCTATGAATTCCTGACATGCAATTTGTAATTGCTCTTTATGTCTTTGCGCAGAACGACTTACAAATTTTGTTATTTTTCTTGACACGATTCTATATTTTCTTTTAAAATTTAATATCCATGTTGCACTAGCTTTAAATGAAGAAAGATCAATTTGTGCCTTGGCTTCTAGGATCCATCGTCGTAAGTCCATATCATGAATAATTCTTTTTTCGTCATCAGCTTCTTTAAAATTTTGTAAGACATATTCGGAAATATATAACATCTTTTCTCTATGAGTACCTCCTTTTTGTGTATGTAATGTTCCAATCGATATAGTTGCGGCAAAGACTTCATCTTTTTAAAACGATATTTTACCGTTGATAAGGAATACCGTCTCTTTTTTGCACTTTTCCAAAATTCAACAGCGCTTCTCTTATAGCCATCATTAACAATTCCACATTCTTCTGAAATACAACTATCTTCTGCTTGATCATCGTCTTCATCTTCTTCAAGTATTTCTATTTCATAATCGTCGACAAAATCTGCATCGAGTAAGTTTGATTCCCAATAATTTTCAAATTCTAGCGTAGTATCAGTATGAATATCACATGACATTTCATTCATTGAAGAGTGTATAATATCCTTTATTACATCGCGTAATTCAATTTCTTTATCATTTACAAGTGTTTCCGGAATTTTTGAAATTTGAAAAAGGATAATTAACATATTGAGAATATTTGCAGGATTCATTTGTACCATTTTAAAGATTTGCACTATGTGATTTTGACTTTGCACTTGAATTATTCGTT